GCAGAAACACGGGTGGGAATGAATTTATGTGGGATAAGCACTCATGGGGAGAAACTCATGTGGCGTGAACTTTGCGTTGGGGTGCGTGGGTGTGAGACACCGTGGAGAAACACGTGGGAGGATGTGCGGCAGGATCATGGGTGGGGATGACCTGCACCAGGGGGCCCGCCTGGCATAACCCACATCAGGTAACCCACCCAGGATAATCCACACCAGGTAATCCACCACCAGGTAACTCACCCAGGATAACCACACCAGAAAACCCACACCAGGTAATCCACCTGGGATGACCCATACCAGGTAACTGAGACCCACACCAGACAACCCACCCAGGATAACCCCCACCAGGATAACCCCCACAAGGTAACCAACCTGGGAGAACCTACGCCAGAACGACTCACACAGGATAACCCATGCAAGCTAACCCATCCTGGATAACCCACACCAGAGAATCCACCCGGGACAACCCACCCGTGGTAATCCACACTGGGTAATCCCCTGGACAACAGGCTGTATTATACCGGTCTTGTACACACCAGGCCCAGCACGTGCTGCGGTGATCGATGCTTTGTGCGTATCAGGCCTTTATTTCCTCGATGATCGCACTTGCAAAAATCTTAAAAAGCTCTCACAGATGGGCCCCCTGCAACAGCTGTATTAAAAATACTGAATTTAAGAGAAGATGCTTGGTTAGAAGCCGTGGCAGATCGCAGAAGCATATGGTAAAAACTGGAAAGCTGTCTTGTTCTTGGTTGTTTGCTTCATCACCCTCTTTATCTCGTGATGTGTTTATACTCTTTGGGGGCATAGTTCAATGCTTGCATTTTATTGATGGATTGAATGCCTGGTACTCACTGCTCAGGTCAAGTTGCTGGAGATTTCTTAGTGATGTAATAGATTTGGGGAGCTGGCCGATATTAATAATAATTAATAATTAAATGGACCACATACTCCAGTTCCCCTATGCTTTCTGGCATTTCCTTTAATGCATTGTGAGATATGTCCAGTTCCCTGAGGCAAACCAGTTCAGACAGCTCCTCTGGAATTTTAGTTAACTGATAAATAAACTCATTTATTTAGATACAACTCCTCCTCTTCTGCAAAAAGTTTAAAAGGTAACTTTCCTGCGGGCAAAATAACAGTCCATAATATACTTCCAACAATACAAGCTTCTGACCTTCGATTCTAGTGGAAGCTAATGGTATTTTCCAATAAAAATATGGATGCTGAGCACAGAAATTTGCAGGGAAGCTTTTTAGACATGATAATAAAAAAGGCAATTAAAAAAAAGTGCAGTAGAATCCACAGATGGAGCTTTAGGAGAAGTTCCTTTGATCATTAACAAAAAATTTTACCCTCTCAGAACACCCTTATTTTCCTCAGCCACAAGGAGATGAAACATGTATTTTTCTTCTTTTTGATTCTGGTCTTACTTTGGTCTTTTCTAATTTTTATTTTCCTTCTTGGAACTTCAACTGTTCTCCAGCTATTGTGGAAACTAAAGCTACAGCTCTCTGAGAAGTGGACGTAGGATCACATACGTCTTCCTCCTGGGTCTGAAGAAAGCCAGCCCTTGGAAAGGATCATAATCACGTTTGAAATCATATAAAGAAAACTGAGCCTTTTCTGAAATCAGGTACGAAATACTGATTTTGAAATACTGATTTTGCAAATTCTGGTGAAAAGAGAGATTTAAATGCCTAACTTACCAGGAGATGGTTTTTCCCTGTTCCTTAGTATAAAAAAAAATACAAATTAAACTTTGGATTTTAGAAATGTGAAGCGTTTTCTCTGCTATAAGAAATCAGGGATCCAATATAGCTTTTCTTGTTTGAATCAGTGAAAAGTTTAACGACCAACTAATTGGTCATTAAACCACCTCAAAATATGCCTCAATAACACTACATAAAGCGAGGTTTATGTCTAGTGTTTCTAATTAAAAGTGCATCCTAATAGGTCTTTGTCCAGTTCTGATACTAAAATTAGGTAAACACGTACACCTATTTGCCGCTCTAGAAACTGTTTTTCTGCTCTTTGTTTACCCTAGCTGTATTCAGGAGCTTTTCCACCTGTTAGGAGGAAGTCTATGAATAATCATTTTGCAGCACAACAATCTGTGCAACACGAGTTTTTCTTACCTAAAGGAAACGTTCTTACCTTCAGCCCATTCATTTGACACGCCGTCAATGCCTTCGCTGGAGAAAGATGACGTTTCAGAAGGAAAAGATGCAAACTGAAACTTTTAGGGTTTTGATCACTTCTAGATGGCTAATCTGTAAAGGAATACTCTTTATCTGATTATTTGAGATACCAAGTGCTTTTAAAAACTTCAAAGAACACAGTTCTTCAGGAAATGAGTCACGCTTGCGGTGTAACAGCGGTGCCTGGAGAGCCTTCATCTCGGGCACCACTGCTGACGTGCTATTGATTTCATTCTCACTTACATCCAAGTAAAATAATTCTGTAAGGGTACACAAGCATGCAGAAAACAAGGACACTTTATTTTTGTTTAACTCCAGATGCTCCAAATCTTTAATTATTTCTGAAATAGCGTTGCCGCTAAGATTTAAGGGTTCAAGATCAGACAGTGCACGCTATACGTTTGGAAATTGAGAGAGCCTATTATCGCTGAGGTCAGCTTTGGTTTTCCATATACAATTTTTTAATTCAACAGGAATATAAATTAATGTGTTTCCAGAAAACTCTATTTTGGAGAGGTCTTTTAAATGTGCTATTTGTTCATCCAGTGAGTCCAGTCAGTTTCTACTTAAAGAAAACTCCTTTAAAGGTTTAAATCTGTGAATATTTGCAGGAAGCTGGGTTTGTTATTATGTATAACGAGATGTTTCAACATGGTACAGTTGCAAAGATCATCTGTAATGCTTTTGAATAAAGCTTTGCAAGGTTCAGGAACCCAAGTTCTCATAAATTCTCCACCTTATCTGAAAGAAACTCCAATTTGTTATTACCAACTCCGAGTTCTTTTCACTTTATCAGCCAGAAAAGCTGCTCAGGCAGAAATATAAGCTTGTTGTTACTCATTGAAAATTCTTGTTGTTTCCTGAGCTCTTCAGTATCCTTTGGTAAACTCTGAATCAAGTTCTCACATATGCTGAGATAAGGAAGGTTGCAGAGAACCCCTGGGAATACTGAGATTTGATTGGAATCAATGAGAGTACCTTCAAATTTCAATGCAAAAGGAAATTCATCAATATTGTTGTGATTGAGAAAGAGTTCCTTAATATTTACAAGCTCTGACAACTCTTTAAGGAGATGTGCTAACTGGTTGTGACTGACATTCAGTACGGTCAGTTTATGAAGTAAGGATATTTCTGGTGGCAACAGTGTCAGTCTTTCAAGTTAACAGGAATTCCAGATTAGATAGATTAACTACATCTGAATGCAATGGTTTTATTTCATTGTTGTGTAAGAGCACATATTTTCAATTTGGGGGTTCAAAAGCAAGCAGAGGCATGTTCCCTAGTCCTTTATCATTTAGTCTAAGTGTGAAATTTTCATCTTTTGCTTCAGGCAACTTAGATATTGATCCATTTTCATCACTTTCAGGATTCATTGCTGCTGGCAATATGTCTTCAATAATGAGTCCCTCAAATAGTTCTGCATTTTTTCCTAGTTCGTTTAATAGAAGTCTTTCTGCTGATAGGGTTAAGCTGTATAAAATTATTATTACCCCCTATTACCCCTAAAATGCTTTAAGATCAAGCAGAACTTTTGCAAACCCACGTTTCTGTTGAGCCTGTACCTGCACTTTTGCACTAACAGCCTATTTTCTGAAGCGTATCTAGCTGCGAGCTAACAGTGGTAGGGAAACCCCTACCTTTCTAGACTGACTTTTCCCTGTCACCAAAGCAGCAGCAGGAGGACAGCTGGGCTGCGGGAGGGGTTTCCCTGGGGACCGAGGCCTTCCTCTCGGACAAGCCGCTGCTGTCCCTGTGCCGCAGGCAGAACGAGCCCTTGAACTCGCAACAGCTCCCGACCAGGGTGAAAGGAGGCTGGCACCCCACCTCGGCACCCACCTCAGCTCTGCCGCCATGCCAAGCCCTGGTGCTGGCACAGGGCACGGCCTCCCCAGGTGCCAAGAGACTGTTTTTCACAGTTTTAAGTTTTCAGTTACTCGTTTGCCTTACTGTGCCTGGCTGGAGGATTCTACTCTCAGATCCTTGCTTCATCAGCCATACAGTACTCACTTTTAAAAAAAGTGCTTGTTAAATAAACTGTAGGAGTTGAGCTGAGTATGTCTTGCTTACAAAGGCATAATTTTCAGACTTGCCATTCTTGCAGCTCATTTTTTTTTACTTGGTACAAATAGGTGGATTGTTACTAGTGGTCTTTCTCTACAGTGTTGGATTTGTCTGTTCCAATTTCACATGTCCCCACTTTTAGATGGAAAGATTGTACTTGCCTTCCTTGTCACAGCAACACAGCTGAACCTCCTACGTACCCAGGTGCCAGAAGCCTGCTAGGACCATGTAACCTGGCTTTCACTACTTAACAACTCCACTGACACGCAACATCTGCAAACTTCTGCTTTGCCATGACTAACAGTTTCCAGTTTTCCTGATGAATTCCTGAGTGGTTTCCAAGGTGCACTACCTTCAAATCTGTAAGCCACCATGGGCTCCTCCCTGTGATCCTCTCTGATGATCTTCCCTCATACCTTGCAAAGGTTAGCCTGTTACAGAATGCTGGTTTTTGGAAATAACACCTGCCTGGTAAGACACTTGATGGCACTTTCATGCTGGCTGCAGTAATAGAAACAAGCATGACTTGTTGCAAACAATTTATTACGTAGTAATAAATAAGAACTTAGCAGAAAGAACTATACAGCAATAAGGCGTATTAATACTATCGTTAAATATGCAACTGACACACATTTTAACGTTTTTCCTCTAGTTTTCTAACAAAGTGCTACATAGAGAAGTGTATTTCTGATACCAGTGCTAAGTGCGAGCAAGGATGCACTATGAAGGACCTGACTGTTGCATTGTTTACCACAAATAAAACATAACAATCCATGAAGATTGACTGTTATTTATGCCAGTGAAGTTTAAGTAGAAAAGTATAGCTTGCTAAGAAGATTAGAAAATATAAGTCTCCTGTTCACTTTTTTTAACTGCTTACTGCTTTAATTTCTTGAACTGCACTTGTTAGTAGTAAGGTATGAGTAAAGTTACTACACAACAGCACAGTTCCTAACATTCATTTTAACTTTTACTTGAAAACTTAGAGGCAAGTGCTTTTTTTTTTAAAAAACTTTTTTACAAAATATTGCACACTGTTTTAGCATGCAGTTTACATGGAAGAAACAGTCAAGTGCACTTAAAACCCTGAAATACAACCAGAAATTTTAAATATTTGTGTTATGGATACTATTTTAACGTACAAGGATATGTTTAAGACTGCGTAGGGTCCCACCTTACACTTGGGACCCAACTTGTTAAGACCCAACCCTGACTGCTCAAAGAGCAGGCATAATGCTTAGAAAACATATCTGAGTTTCTTGCATTATAAATCTTCATTCCTGCATCCTGCACTGCTTGTAGCCTCAAGAAACTGAAGTAATGAGTAAGTAAATTAGTTTATCAGAAACAGCTCAGTACCGCCTATATGAGTTTTCATTACTGCAGATGTGTTGCAATCCAGGGTAAGATTTATTAAACTTTCTGAAGTCCTCTGAGTAAGATTGATTTGTAAATCTCTATCTCCCCCTCCTCCATCTACACATTTTATATTGCACAGCAAAAGTAAAAATCCATTTTTTTAAAAAAACAAGCATGCTAAACATTTAATATGGCTTTTGAATGATTTAAAGTATTTCCCTTTTGACATCCTCATGCAGTATTTTAGAATAAATACAAAGTATGAGAAAGACGAGTAAAAATAACGCCAGCTATAACATTTGTCAGAAATGAAATAAAACCCAAGAGTTTATCAAAAGTAGTTGCTCAAAGGTCTAACTGGTCTTTTAAGCATACTTATCAATAGTATCTTAAAAATAGTGTCTACAAAATACCGTAATATATACAACCTCCTTCACGTTCCACACATGAACGACATGAAAGGTAAATAGGTTATCTGAGACTTGCTTAATGGCACTGGCAGTCCCACAGCCCTCTGGAAACAAAAGCCTTACTTGATTCATGCTCGTCCAACTCAGTAAACTGTTTACATTTCATTAGCTTTACTGGTTAAGCTCAAGCCCTACAATAGCTTATATATGAAACACAAAAATATTTATAAAAAGAATAGATATGTTGTATAGTTTTTTTAAAAAAATAAACCATGCAGCTTCTGTACAAAGTTAAAAAACTGTACAAATTGACTTTTCTATAGTGTAAAATTCATGTACATGGAAGTCTTCTGTTATGAACAGAAAGAAGTTGGTTTTTGCTTCACCGTAAGATGCTGTTTTGTAACTACTGTTCATTTCCATCATTCATTTCTTTCACTTGGCATTAACTGGCCGTTTAATTTCATCAGAAGTTTTACGACGAGACCTGCCTATATAAAAGTATACAATTAAATTATATCAGCATTTCAGAACTATGACACAATTAACTTAAGTGTATGACAAATGCAAGTAGATAGAAGTAATAGGTTAGAAGTTGCATCATTTTAGAAATAAAGACAGTAAGCCCTACATTTTTCTCGACACCAGAAACTGTTTTGCAAAATATTCAATCACTTCCCCTATAAACACCTTAATATATAAAAATCAAAAGCCACTACTGTCAAAGTATGCAAGATACTCAAAGCTGTGATTCTGTCACAACATGTTTTACCGTGACATATTACCACTGGAGCAGACTATAGATAAAACAAGCATTTCCATCAGACATCCACAAACAGCGTCAGAAACTGCTGGAAGCAATTGCATTGGAGTTGGTTTGTAACACAGGCTTCACAGAGCCTCAGTTTTATCCCATCTCAAACTCCTCTAGTTCTGATAGCAACGTTATCAGCTCTGACTCTGTGATTCTCATCATATTTGGAATTATCCTTAGAGTCTGAGGGATCGGGCACACGCTACAGTTTCAATTTAAAAAAAAGTTTACCCTAATGATTACAGATGTATTTTATGTATTTTGAACCCTGAAGACTTCACATGCTAGGAAAACAAGCAAACATTCTGAAATATTAAAAAGAAAGTTTTAAAACCATTTTTGTGCGGACTTGGCTTGGGCTTCTTTTATACTGTACAAGGGTGGTTAATCTCAAGAGAGAAGAGGCACATATCTAGTTTAGGAAAAAATAATAGAACATAAAGGATGAAAAATGACAATGCTTACCTGTTTGGTATGCACAATAAAGCTCATTTTGTTCTCCAGGCTGTGGATTTGAAAACACGTATCTCCATCTCCCAACTGCCACATAAAGCAACCATACTTCAGGCTGAGGAGTAAAGCCTACAATGAAACGTAGGAAACTGTCATTCAGAAAATACTCTCCATACTTACAAACTGAACTTCCCTTAGTTCACTTAGACAGGATTCTGACTTAGGACGCTATGTTCCACAATCTAGTTGCAGCTTATAAAGTAGTCAGGTGGAAAAATACAAGGCTTTCTATTAGTAGCACCTTATAATCATAGAATCATAGAATCATAGAATGTTTTGGGTTGGAAGGGACCCCTAGAGGTCATCTAGTCCAACCCCCCTGCAGGAGCAGGGACACCGCCAACTAGATCAGGTTGCTCAGAGCCCCGTCCAACCTGGCCTGGAATGTTCCCAGGGATGGGGCCTCCACCCCCTCTCTGGGCAACCTGTTCCAGTGTTTCACCACCCTCATTGTAAAGAATTTCTTCCTTATATCTAGTCTAAACCTACCCTGGTTTAGAGTCAGGTGGAAAAATACAAGGCTTTCTATTAGTAGCACCTTATAAAGATCTTAAAATCTTGGAAATCTTCACAGTCAAGTTTAACCAAACAGTCGGATGTGAAATGACTACTAGCACAAAGAATTTAAGAGAACAGAATTAAGCTTAACAGTCATCATTGGCAGTTCGCTTAAGCTGACCTTTGTTTCCATGTTGAGGAGGTGCAGCCCTTTTACATTTACTCCTACATAAACTTTGATGACTTTATGGCTGCTTGAACTTGCTTTGGTGAATATCTGTCCTGTGAAAAATGCTGCTCCATAAGTAGGAATTTCCCAGCAATTCTGCAAGAACATGCGCTGAAGGTGATGCATCTCTTTACTTACACCTTCACTGGTGCTGAGATTCTAGAAATAAAGGAACAATGGCAATCAATGGCAGTCTTCCCAAATAGCTGTGGTTATTAGAAGAAAAAAAAAACCCACTATTTAGTGCAATTCCCAAACTAGTATTCCCAAAGTGCTTTCCCAGCAACCGTCTTCCTACATCTAAATTAAAGCCTAGAGCCACAGAAAGGGTCAAATGCCAGAAGAGCCCAACGCAGAAAGCTCTATGAGCCTCAGAAATCTGAGCCACAGACCCATAACCTCTGCAGGGCCCCACAGTTTTGCCTTTCTCCAAAGTATGTTGGACTCATCAGGGATAAGCAGCCATGCACCCATCTGACACTAAATCCATTGCAATCCTGAAAACTAAGCATTCTTCCTCCTTTAAGGGGTCCAATCCAGTGAGGTATGGTAAGATGATCAAGTACCTCCCACCAAAAATCATGGGGGTTTTTTCTTTTCTAAGCAAAAGAGGGGCGCAGTTTTCTATCTTTAGTGGAGCCCTCATTCAGAATGAGACAGTCTTCTGTTTCTTCCTCTTCAGTAGAGTGAAACAGTCACAACAAAGGATCGCTAGAGTGCTCCTGCCTCAAAATAGACCGATGTAAAGTACACCAACAAACAAAAAACTTGGCTGGGCCACACATGAGATGAGAAAGCACCAGCACAGGCACAAGAGGGAACACAAGTCTTCAACGGTTGGGGGGGCCATGACTGTGGGTGTGGTGGATGGGACCAACCTCTTCAAATCCACACCCTGCATTACAGCTTAGGTGAATTCTGCACAGCCATTTTTAAAATGTAGAATATATGAATATCTTTGGAACAAAAGACTGAGTAGAGAGAGAACTCTGCTATACCCTCTGCTATACCATAGTCTTAGACCATCATCCCCTCCTTCACCTGCATGACAAAGAACAGGAATGATTTGCTAGATTCTGACAACAAAGGTGTAGGCACCAAGAGAAAGTTTATGACTGAGTGACCTCATCTCAAAAGAAGGGCAAGGCCTGGAAACACTCCCTGGGTGCCTCTGCAGTGTTTCCTGTCAGCTACCTTTAGCAATGCATGTTAGCCAGCACAGTTCTCTGACACACCTCACTTCTTCCACAATTTTTTAGGAAGTTCACAGTTCAGGTGCCTCTGACCCCATTTGGAATCCATAGCCCTTCAGTTAGAGGTCTTTTGCAGAAACAGCCCAAATCCACATTTCAAACTTGCTCAGTTAACTGCTCTAGTCAAAGGAGTTTGTGTGTGTGCGCACACGTGCATCAGCAGCGCCATCAGATCCCTAACGTACGACTTACATTGGCAAAAAGGACTTTGTGCATCTACCGCTACAAGCAGATGTGAAAATACAAGTCAGAGTAGGTTTTTTTACATCCGTGCCTGAATTGGCAGTATCCCCAATACACAGTTAACACTGAAGATAAACAAACAGGTGACAATTATATTTACTGCTAACAGACAGATCAACTGTAACTGTACAAGAAAAATAGCATTCCAACAACCCATCCCAAAAATTCAGAACATACGCATTTCTAAATTTATATACCAGGATTTTTGTTCATTAACTGACAACCAAACAGTCAAAAAATGTTTAAACACAGTATTTTCTACTTTTTTATTATTTATCTCACCTTGTATTCATGAAGTATCCTGTTTGTCCAATGAGGAGCTTTGCTTTTTAGTTTAGTGATTGGTACTATAGATTTAAGATTTTCTTCACTAAGAGAAAAACAAAGCAGAAAAAAGTTTTTCTTCACTAAACAAAGTAAGAACAATGTCTGCCAGTTTGTATCTTGAAGTCACATATTGAGCTAGACAGTCAGCTCCTACTCTATCTTGCCTCAGCAGGTGAGAAGCATTCCCAAAACGTAAGCTAAGGCTTCCTAAGATGTAGTGTAATTCTCAGTTAATGAAGATCCAGCTTTGTGTTATACGCTTTGTGTCACGCACTGTGGACATAGCACAGAGAGAAAATGCTGGCAGAACACGTGACTCTTACTTGGTTACAGACCAGTTTGGTGAATTCCAGTTTGGAAGCCAAAATGATATATGAACATTTATACCAGAATACTACACACTCAGAAAAGATGACAGCTTATAGGTGCTCTTCCCTTCACTGTTGTATTCAGCACCACCAAGCACTTGACCCATTAATTTCCACACGAAAGTTAGATACTACGTGATATGAAAGTGAAGCTATTTATGTAAAGTGCCTTTAAAAAAAAACACAACCAAGCAACAAACAGTAAAAGGAAGCCTTTGCCAGTTTGTTTTTACACACAATTAATCTAGGTTGCATCACTGGGCTTTGGAGACTAGTAATTTTTAAACTATTATTTGTCAGTAACTGCACATAGGATCTACCAATCAAAAACCCTGCAGAGGACAACATGTCCAGGTCTTTAAGGTCAAGGATACCCTTGTACAAACAACAGCCTGGATATAATTTGTAAATGACCAGTCTTTTCATAAACATTTATGTCGACTACAAAAAAAGTTCAGCATATAAATTTTTTCATCCATCTGAGGAAGAACAAACAGAGATATTTTCCAACATCTTCATTTGAATACGGATGGAAAGCATGCCCAAATGCCCCCAGGGCTCTTCTATGTGGCCCAAACTATCTTTCCAAGTAGTCCTGTCTACAGAGTCAAACAATTCCATTAAGCAGGATCAACTCACAGCCATATTGCTCATCTGCCCCAGCATGGAAAGGAACACCACCCTGCAGCTGGGATTCAGTGTGGGTAGTTTTGTATTAAACCCAGTTGCATTTAACTGCATGCTCCTGTAGGCGTGGGCAGTCCCACTCAAAACCAATTTGCCTTATGCTCCATCTACCAACTGCAACTGCAGGACAAGATAGGTCGACAGCTGAACCTACTGAACAGCCCACCCAAAAGTTTTCCAGTCAGTGAGCTCATTCACCTAGCTTACTCTGTAATCGTACAGTCTCTACACCTAACAGAAGAGCAAGGAACAAACAAGTGCAGTCAGTACAGCCAGCCCTTTCAGAGGCAGCCCACACTTACATCAGCATAACTGTAGCAGAAAATGCACCCTGATTTACTGATGGTGGAGAATACAACCAGAAAAAAGCAAGCCAAGACAGCTCAGTTGATGCTGTGAATTGAGAGGAGGTGAGTATAGTAGCATTCTGGAAGAGCAGAGCTGCTGTTACATGAACGAATTGAGGTGGAGATGGTAGGGGGTGGAGTGAAGGTGCACACAGTAGAGACCTGGAATCCTGATGTGCTCAGATACTACTGTAGAAATGTATGTGGGAGGAAAAAAGCCGTATCCCAGAACAGCTCAGCTACGGCTGTGCTGGCAAGCAGAGAGAAGGGGAGAGAAAAGCACCATCTGGCAGAGCCCTGCTGGTGCTATGGTTCTGACCAATTTAGTACAGCAGTTCACATACAAATGAGAGAACAGAAATAATATCTCTGCATGGTCTGTCCTCTTCAAAGAGGGAGGAAAGCCAATCCCAGAAGCTGGTCTAACTGGACATAGTAAGAGGTTTCTTCAGCACTGTCCAAAGTCTCAGTCCTGTCAAAACGCCTCATTCACATGAATACTGTTACTCATTTTGGCATTATTCTATGTCAATATAGACTTACAGAACACAGAACCTCCATCCCTCTGCCTGAGACTTCAATAATTAAGATTAATATATTTTTCAGACCTCATATCCAGATTCTATTAATGCTACAAGGGTTATGTGATAACTAAACTAGAGCTCAGTGTTGAAGACAAATAATAAATAAATCACACCTAAAATTTGGGACTTCCAGAAGTCTAAAAGTACTTAATCTAAAAAGCACCATTTTAGTTTTAAACACACATACTTACTTTAGAAAGCCCTGTTTATGTTTCTTGCTCTCATAATTTCCATAGACTATTTGCAGAAGCAGACTGGCCAATGTGATCAGCTTGGCATCAGGTGATGTATAGAAACCTTTCAGTAAATTATATCTGGCTTCATCAAAAAGGATAAGAATAGCCAATGGATCCTCAATCTGTTAAAAAGATTTAAATAATGTGATTTCTTTGTAAAAGAAAATGAGCTGAGGAATTACAATTTCTCACCAATTCAGAGACAGAAGACAAAGGTGTGATCCTGACTGAAGTGTCCATTTCAGTAATGCTTTGTAACAGAAAAAATGACATTTTCATTGACTTAATTCAAGACGTCACTGATCTAACACACTTTCAAATTAAAGATGACTAGCATGCCATACCCAGTCAAAAGGTTCACAGAAATATTGAAATCTGTGGGTTTTTTCCCCACCATGAACCCGTTTTGAATAACGAGTCTCAATAATCCCATTGCAATTGACCAATTAAATAGCCGCAAAATCTCAGCACAAGGAAGAGAAAGAAAACTGGGCAGGTTGTTTTTAGCTGTATGACAGACAGAGACTGAGGCACACAGACTTATGATAAACCAAACAGTGGGGAAGGTGAGAAATGGGGCAGAGTGGAGAAAGAAGAGGGTGGGAGGAAGGTAGGGAAGAACCTGAAGACTCAAACTATTACAGAAAAGGAGAGGAGAGGTATTACTGCAGTCATTAAACACACTGAATGTTGATGGTCAAAATGTTCTGACTCTGACCACGATTTCATGCTATCACTGCCAAGTGCCGACCTTTTTTTCTATTTCCAGTGGAAGTCTCACATCTCTTCTCAGGAAAAGCTGTGAAGTTTCCCTTTGAGGATCCAAGTTTGTCAGTTCAGTGAATATTTCAGGCCAGTCTCGAATATGCTGAAGAGGCTTGTGGTATGGCTTCAGTTGGAGGCCTGAAAAATACCAGGTTTTGTTTATAAATAAAGTAACCCAACACACACCCACAATTAAATGCTGCACCAAACCCAAAGTATCTGAAACTGACGGCTCATTAACAAACATTTTTCCCTGTGTTTTCTAAACTGCTATATAGAAAAGGTTTTGAAAATATGGATTTATTGACAAAACTCCCAGCATCAATTCATTAAATGCACTAGCAATGAACCTTTGTTATTTTCAGCCTCTCGAGTGAAGTTGTATTTAAGAATTTAATGGAATACCAAGATCTTAAAAACACAGTAATGAAACATTAGGGACTGTTGTCTCAATTATTATGGGAGAAATACAAAGTCCAATAATCTTACTTCTGACAGAAAAATACAGATATAGCTTATCTTACAAACGTATTTGCCATTTTTGGCTGTATAAAACCCAAACTTTTTAGAACAGACATTCTTTTTTTTCATCTGTAAAATATCTTGATTCTTAACAGGCTACAGTCATTCAATATTTCTTGTTCTCCTGTGTATATGAGAGCTGAAAAGTCAATTGAGAGCTTTCAACTACAGTCCTACTATCTACTAGAGCCCATACCTTCACTTATGCTTGTTCACTTACCCTGCCTGCCCTTGTTTTATTGCCTGGCTGTTTTCTAGTGGCTGCCTCATCCTCACTGCTCTGGCTTTTACACTGTGACATCTCACATTGTATGAAAAACTTCAAAGGACATGTTATAGTGCAACATCTTTTCACTGAGAATGTTCTGTTCACTCAACTTCTCCACCTTACATTCAAACCCAGAAAAACATTACCGGTCCTACAAACAAGAAAACTGTGGTCTTTACAGCTGTACACAAACTGCAAGAAATAAATTTTATGATGAAACTTGTCCATTAGTCGTTTCAAGCCGTAAATCAGAAGCTGACTCATTTTCAGACTTAGGCTAAGTATCTAGAGAATTACTTGTTTTTAAACAAACAATGTATCAGTGAGCTCTTCCCCTCAAATTTAAGGGCAATACTTCAATGATTTGAGTAGAACATGACACACATATTTAGAAAAGGCACAAGCAGCAAGACTTCAACACTGAAACACTCCCTTTTCTTCCAGACATTAACATCTATGTTTAACTTGAGGGCTACAGCAGCCATGTGGCATACCGCAAAGTAAAAAGGTAAATGGCATGACACTGGGAGAAAAAGATTAAAGAAGAATGAAGAAAAGATTTCCTGCAATATTTATAGATTAAAAAAAAAGTTACAATGCTACTATAGTGGAAGATCAACAATAGTAAATAAAATTTTAAATGCAAGGCTTCTGTGTTAATGGTATTGCCAACACAGTATCCTACCAGACCTGAACTGTTCTTTGTAAATCAAATATAATGTGTCCCATAGCTATCTTGTTGCAGCAGTACTGTTTACCACGTTTTCTGACAAAACATGATCACAATCACTGACTCTTTTGGGTTTCTATTTATCTTTTGTTACGTATCTCAAACTACAACTATAATATACTTTTTATTTAGATCAGAAATACCAAAAAATACAGCAAATGTAATAATGATGTTTTGCATTGGAATTCCCTTTGACCAAATATATCTGAAAACTTGTTTATCAAAAATAATTTTGCTGCAAAACACATGAAAGTTCACGATAAAAGGACCTAATGAAAAAAGGTTTATCAGCTTTACTTTAATTACTAGTTTTACATAGATAAACATTGGTAAAAACAACTACGTGCATCCAATTTCAGATACTCTGGGAAGAAAAATACCACTAAAATCAGGGTAAGTTAGCAGTAAGGGCTATGACAGCGAAGATGCCCAACAAGAGAAAGGCAATCTGGACTAGCCTAATCTTCCTGCATGAGATACCTTCTAGATGTCACAGTGACATAGCATCAGACCTACTGGGGGTACCCAAAATTATGGCTAAAATGGATAAGCTCTCCATAGCTCTGAAAGCACAGTCTGGAGACATCAGGCTGTAAAGGCTGGGAGTTGATCTACTGGAGGAAAGCTTAAGTGGAGGAAGCAGAAAAACTGGTTTCACTCCTGATGATCTTTCCTGACAGAAAGAAGGAGATCTACAGGGATTACAGGGTCTCTGGCAGAGGCAAAGTGTGTTAACAGACATCTAGATACAAATTAACTCCTAAAGGACGGCTTTTAAAAGCTGGTACAATGAGGTTAATACAGAACCCTCACAGAGCATGTTTCCTATTTTCCTAAGAAAATATATTGTCTTCCTAAAGGCAAGCAGAAATAAAAAACGTACAATAAACTCTCAAGTGTAACAATCTCCCTTGTTACTCACTGAGGTTCTCAGAACAGATCCAGATAGTGAAGTACTGCTGAGTTTCTTGAGACAAACGCATCCCCTCCATTATCTGTTGTACAGTAGTATTGTTTCCATGTTTCAACTCAACAGAGCGATATGACCCATCCATACGATAAATTCGTGCTTTTTCGTACTACATAAACATATCAAACATGTTAAACAAAGAAGTTGTTAAAATCCTTTCTGTTGGTGCTTCTGAAGAGGAAAGCAATTTTACCATAATTCAGCAACACCCATACTGTTGAGAAAAAGAACACTCCACAACTCCTGCATATTCACTCTTTATCAGAACCGCTTGTTTCATGTCCTGTGCAAGTTCTTACACTGTGTTTTTTACCACAATAATGCCAAAAAAGATCTTACTGATACACTTTGAGGACTTCACTTCTGTTGAACTCAAAGGCAAGTAGGCATTTAAAAGTTCTCTGAGGGATTTGGGCTCGACTACCTATGCTTATCCTGAAATGTCCACCTCACTATTACTGGCAGGTTATGAAATACTTCCCTCATTAGTCTATACTAAAAAGACTTATTTTTCAGAGGGAAGCACCACCCTTTGCACAGACCCTAGTACAATAAAAATAAAATCTCGCTAAGATCTTTTAGCACTTCTGTAATATTAGTAGTAACAAATAACTTTCCCCTCCAGAACTCCCATAGCTTTCATTGAAATGCATGTGGGCCCAGAGTATGCCTCCTGAAAGACGTACTTGAATGTAAATCAGGTGCTTAAAGCATATACACACAAGTCATAAGCCAAGGAAACTTCTTGTTTTCATCTAACAGGTTAATGTTTCAGCTGCTTGAATAAAAAAGTTGTAGGAATTTCTTATTACCCTGCTTCAAACCTACTTGGTTGTCAAGAACTTGGTTCCTAAAAACTTCTGGAAAAAAAAAAGATGAATGCCTTGGAAAATGACAACTGACTGAAAATGAGGCTGGAATGGAAAACATCAGTTTATTTTTGCTGCAGTAGTCACTGTGCCTCCTACTGCAGTAATTTCTATCTTTTTTTAATTTTACTGTTGTAAGTATTAATTCAATAGTAATAAGTGACAACATAGTATCACCTATTACACTGTGAAATCTACCTAAAATGTGTGCGTTAGTCTTAAAGAGTCATTAGAGACACATCTGCCATTTGATCAACTGCATAATAAGATCTCTAAAATAAAGTAGTTCAATTCCTTCATTAATTATTTTGGAAAATTCATTCATACAGAGTGAAATTAAGATAATTTAAAACATCTTGAAAAACTGACAGGTGTACTGCCACCTACCTACAGATATAAAAGTTGCATCTGAAGTCAAAGAAAAGAAATGATATTCTATCATTTGGCCAATTTTAAATCTACTTCAGGATGAGAGGAATCGCATCATAAATTTTGTTTACTTCCTGCCTAGATCTGCCAAGGAAGCCTACACTAACTGACGCAAAGCCTATTTTGTAGAAGCCTACATTTAGCCAGCTGAATGCTCCTGTTTATCAACATGTAAGATGACAATGCATAAAGCAAGCTGATGGTTGTATGAGCAAAAGTAGACATAAAATTGGTAGCTGATGTGATGCTCCTCCAAATAAATCAAAACATCACATTTAAAGTCTTACATGTATTTCTTGAGCAATAAATATAGACAAAAACATTTAAAGGGACAAAATGTCAGTTTGTCAATATTTACATTAACAGTTTCAGTATACTGCACATTTCCAATAGCAGCTATAAATAAGCCCAGCTCTTCTACAAGTTTACATGTAAATTAAATATAAACTTTAAACTATTTAGAAAGTAAACTCATACAGGTTTGTTTATGGCTTCCTTCAGCAGTTTTGCAGTTTCTTCCCACTCATTTTGTTTGTTCTCTTCACAGACATTCAGTGGAGATCTTCCTTGTTGATCAGTAATGTGCTACAAACATAAACAGAAACACTGATAATACATTGTTTTCACTTGAGATAAGTAAACTTTTACACATTTTTTGAGATAATTAAAATCCTTGATCCCAGGGTTCAAACACTTAATTGATATACAATGGGAAAAGTAGAGGTAGTGAAAAATATTTAACTGAATTCTTTTGGTAATCTCTCAACAGGATCACTGTATTTACACATTATGATCTGGACACAAAATATTTCACATACACAAGCTAGAAACCATTGCTAAAACTGCTATTTCTATACGCAAACAGAACTTACTCTGTCAATTTCTGGATGATTTAGCAGAATTTGTACTATTTCAGCATGCCCACCTCCAGCAGCAAAATGAAGAGGAGAGCTAAGTTGGCCATTCAAAAGATTTGGATTGCATTTCCCTTTCTCCAATAGCATTCGAGTGGCTTCAACTTTTCCATACCTGCAGACAGGTTTAAAGCAAAATAGACACAGCAAATGAAAAATAAAATCTTTTTTAAAATAGTCCTAAATATGGAAAAGTGTATTTCCATGCTCAAGAATTTTTAGCTTTGAAATGGCACCGAAGACAGTGGAACATTAATAAGTTTGTAGAAATTAGTATCAGTTCTGCACTTTGGTAACCACTGGTCTCGTAACCATTTCTTGCATTCATTATAGACAAACCGAACCTTGCTTTAAACTAGCTAAGCTGGGGTAGTTGTAATAAGTCAGTCATAGCAAAACAGAGTTCAGGCTTGCCTGAAAAAAAAAAAAATCTGTGTGAGAATCAGAGTAAAGCTTCTGACTGTCACACAGATGGATCCTGAGGACTCTTAAGCCTCACGCTGATAACTGGTAAAACTTGTGTATATTGTTTATGCAAACTTTCTGACAAACACTAGAAATTGAGTATGTCTTTTTTTTTATAACCGAGTTTGATTTTCATGTTATTCATATCATCAGTCACTACTATAAATACAGAAGACTAACTTGCATGAAGATGAAACAAAAGCATTTTTACAACCGCTGAGGAAAGCTCTCAAGACTTACAAATGTAATCATGACAGAGTTGTAGTCAGACAAGTAGGTCACCTAGTCCAGCTTCCCATCAAAGCTTGACCATCACCAAAATGTGCTTGGCTCAGCTATTGCTGTGCTGTAAAACTGCTCACAGCCTTTAACCAACAAAGACTGTAAAAGTTACGATACTAAACTAGACCCCGCGTCTCCAACAGGAATTAAAACAGATGCTTCAAGACAGATCTAAGAGGCAATAGAGAAGTGCTTGATGATACAATCTCCACACCTGGTCTCCTTTGAAACCATTCAGATTGAAATTATCTCAAAACCTGAAGCAATCTTTCTCTTCAGAAGGTTAAGACTAACCCATACTAGAGTCAAAGTGTAAAAAGTCTAGATTTTTTCTGATTTCTCATTTTTGAGTGTGCATGATAAATTACGTAAATGATTAGCACTAAGGAATCATGGTAGCAAGAATTTGTTTGGCAAAACTATATTCATCTGACTCACCAGCACGCATAATGGATAGGTGCCCAGTGGTCACTATCTAACTGATTAACAGAAAACTTCTTATCCAGAAGGTGGCTTAGTAAATCAGAGTCGCCTTCGCAAGCACTGCGGTGAAGAGGGAAATCATCTACCCACTGGTGTTCCCTATGAATTAAAAGGGGAAACAGGAAGAAAACACAGTTCAGAAATATTTCAGTAGTTCAGAACATCGACTTTTTTTAAACTACTAACATAGCACTAACTGTAGATCTACATGAAGAATAAAAATGAAGCTCATGCAGCTAAAACGTGCCAGTATTCATACAACTAGTATTTTTGTCATGCAGTAGTCAAGCCACAGCTGTATTCATTACACTAAGAAATGCTTCCCTAATGCTTATAATTTAAACCTTTCTTGATCCGTCTTTTAATTGTTGTGTATCAGTACTTAAGAGATTTCAAATAGAATTTTCTTTAATACATATCTGCTTCCCTAATGTTTATAATTTAAACCTTTCTTGATCCATCTTTTAATTGTTGTGTATCAGTACTTAGAGATTTCAAATAGAATTTTCTTTAATACATATTTATAGAGTAAAGCCCTGAAGTAATACGAATCTCCTTCTGACCAAGTCTACAAATTATAATATAACAAAACAAAATTATCAATTAATGAAGAAGGAATGTAACATAATACTTGTCCTCTGTGACACTGCTCATGCTACGTTGCCACTTTTCTCTTTTAGGAATCTGAATCTTTGAATAGTCTGGGGCTCCAAGGCCAAAGTATGGGTTTATTACCACTTTGTCAACCTGTGAAGACAGAATTTAAACACAACTGAAAAAATATCTTACCGAGATTTGGCTAAATAATCCCCCATCCAGGCCAGATGTTCTCTTGAAACCAAAGTTATGACAGTAACATTTTATAATTAGAGAAAATGGTGTTCAAATGTGAGGATTTGAAAATCCATTTAGCAGTAAATATGCAATAAAGAAATATGATTATATTAAAGTACACACTCATATCAAATAAATGAATGAATTGTAAAAAACATAAGCATGTTTCACAAATACAAAATGAAAATAAAGTTCTTACCCTATTGGTATACTGAAGGTCAGAGCCAAACAAAGGATTATAGATACACATATCTGCTTTCTCCAATGCCAGCATTTTACTCTTTATTTCCAGGGCAGTATAACCCATGTGTAACGAGCTCTCTGTTCGACCAGGTTCTATAGCATAGGCAGGGTTTGTTACATTTGTTTTAATTCTCTCAGGAGGAGATGGTCTGAATAAAGCCGGGATGGAGTGAGACTGGGTGTGCCGTTCATCCAACCACCTGCAGAAGAGAATGGGCAAGTAATGCATTTTCAGGTAGAAAAAGACTATTTTGGTCATGCCCGTCCATTATTTTATTTTATTAAGGGTGGTATGTATGACAATCACACATATTAGTTAAAAAAATATTTCTTATAATGTGCACAGCCAATTTTATAGCACTAAATTAATCCCCAAACATGAGATTTTTTAACCTAATGTAATTAAGCAAATGTATTTGCTCAAACACATTTCCTGCGGATGCAAACTCTCAAAGAAAAGGAAATTACAAGCCAAGAGTAATGTTGGTTATAGCCAAAACACTTAACCATACCAACATGTCACCATTTCATTTACTTCATCAGTATTACTGCTCTCAGCACACAAATTTTGAAACTTAAAGCGGTTTGTTCAAGGGTGACTTGAAGTTTCAATACCTGTGCTGACTTAAGCCTTCTAACTCATGCATTTCATTAGGGAGAGGTGGGAAAAGGCAAAAAATCGGAAGGTCCTTTGGTAGTTTCCAAACCGCCAAGTCTCTTTCACATAGGCTATCACCTGCCTTTTCACAACGCTGTGCTGAAGGTTATTCCCTTCTAAGTGAGCTCCTACCGACAGTACAGAAGGGCTTTAGAGGCCTCTTGCTCTGAGCTAGAGGGGGAAGTCAGCACTGTACGTCTGCTGCATATGCAGTATCACACAGGGCTCAGGATTTTTGCATAAATACATTTTCAATGAATTGCTAAATTATTTTGTGTTATGTTGAATGGACCACATTTTAACTAAAGGTCTAAAGCCAGGTTTTTATTTAACGTTTCTGCACATACTTTCTCACAAGCTTGAGATAAATGTGTACTTTGTTGGAATACAATAATTCCATTTAGTGATGTAGCCTGGAAATACAGAAGAAATATAAGTACATGCTTTGGAAAGATAGATGCACTGACAGACTGCCTGGATCTTGTCTGTCCCAGAACCACGTGTAAAGACGGCAGAACGTGGCCTGTAGTTCAGTGCCTAGGCCTAGATTTTTAAGTCCCAGATCCAAGCTATCATGTGCTGCACAAGCCGTGTTCTCTTTCCTTACTCATAGTCCTGGTGGGAAGGAGGACTGTAAAATTGTGATCCTTGTGCTATAAACTCCCTCTTGCCTCTCTGAGGTATTTTCAGGCATTTTCTCTAAACAGCTGGCAGATTAGTTACGGTAGTTTGAACCTCTGAAAAGTGTTGTTTCAGATTATGTACATAAAGAATAATCAATATAAACTATTTTCTACTACACTTCCAAGGCTTCTCTCACAACTGTAAGGCTGGTAAAACATCTCAAGCAGAGCTTAAGAGTCTGAAGGCACTCATTAAGTAGCAAATAAATATAACAGCTGGCACAACAGCATACATGGAAATACTATGACTCTAGTAATAAACTGTAAAAACCCTACACATGGAACCTTTTTAGGTGATGGCCTGTAACTTATAATCTTTCATGTTAGCCAAGAGTTTCACCTAACTTTATTAATGCAAATAAGTTCATACATAAGTAGGTCTGGTATTTCTTTGTTAAGGGCACATAAAAAAATACCAAAAAACTGCTCACATATTCAATTTTCAAACTACTATAAATCTGGCTAAACAACTAATGACCTTTCTGAAAGTTAATTCCCTACTGCAAATAAATTTGTATGGCTGGGTAATATGCACTCACTTTGTAAACAGGGGTTTAATTTAAATGCAAATCATAATGGTATACAATTAACAGGATATTTTTACTGTACTCTGGCAAATACTCTTACAGATTACGTCACTTACAGAAGAGTAATCGTTAGTATTTTATATGATTTTACAAAACCTTCTCTGTGAGCAAAAACTTCCCAAAAGCCACCTGATTTACGTAAGCACACCATTCTTCAGTTTGCAAAAAATTTTAAACAACATTTAGAAATATGTTGTCAAGGTTTCAGTTTCTGATAAACATGAAGAAAATAACATGGTATCACAATGATTACAAGAATGCTATAAAAACGATGTGCTACATTTATAAATTATATTGTTTAACTTCTATTTTAATGTATTTTTACGGATGCCATTTCTTACTTATCCAAGGCAATTAACATTCTTGCAGTAAGCGTAGCAAAATGGGTGCTGGATTCACTGCAGACTCTCATGATGTCTTGTAAACAGTAGAACACAGGGCATCCAGGACTGTACGCATATTTCGTATTATCTAAAAAGGAAACGTACTCTGAAGACACATCAATGAGAAGAATAATCTTATTTTCCCTTCTGCATCTTTCGTAGTTACATGTTCCTAACTGAGAGTATATTCTACCTTTAGACAAGTAATTTATTTTTTTCCAAATGATAACTGATAGAAATTGCATACAAGCCTTACATAAGAATTCACAACTCAACAGAGTAGCCTTAAAAACCTTAAAGCGCTCAGTTACCATCAGTGTGATCAGCTTCACCTGAGGAATTAATATTAAATTTATACTGCTGACAGAAAAAAAGAATAGGACCCAGGACTAGAAGAGGTATTTATTGCTATTGGTAACTCCACAATGGTATTTATTTGATAGTTTTTATCCTTAAGGCCTACCAGTGAGGCAAAAATGAAGCAGTTTCCCCAAAAGCACACAGGCGTTTACTTTAGGCTTTTTTTAAAAGATCCCTTCCTGACAAGCAATTTACTTTGCCTTCTAAAGACTTTATTCAACGTTCCTTATTCAAACAAAACTGTTTACAGACTTCAATAAGCATTCTTCTCTGAGTAACTAACACTGAACTGAATAGACCGTCTTTCTTACACTTGCATTCAGTAACTTCTATACGAGTTAATGCGTGTTTTGAAATAATCACATGTACAAATACAGGTTAAACCAGAAGTGTGCTATCGTTACAGAAACAAAGACAATGTATTAAAACCAAGGGTTTTTTTCCTTAGTTTTAAGTAACTTTTTCAAGTTTTAAAGTATTCAGAGAGAGGTTTCCACTGAATGCAACTTTTAGTGTTTAAATACAGAAAAAGCCGTATAACATATTCATAAAAATTCTTAATAAACCCTCAACTGAACTTCTGCTAAAATGATTCAGAATTTAATGCCCAGTGTTACCTTTCACAACAGCTGGAACAATGTAAAGTGACGCCTCCTGGCCTGCCTTCTCTCCATCAAGAGGAAACTTCTTCATTAACACTACGCGCTTTCCTAGCACAGTATTAAAAAACCCCAAAATAATTAATTAACCCACAAAACAAACAAAACCAGTCTAGAGTTGGCTATCTGAAAGCTTACCAGACTCAATCTACCTAATTTCTAGGAAGAAAAAATTATGATTATTATGAGCTACAACCTAAAGCAAGCTAAGAAAAATCTAAATACATATGAAAAAAGAACATATATATATCCATTAGCATGAAAAATTACATGACTGTACCCCTTTTTTCATAGCAACTTTTCCTTACCCCTGATTTTTCATCGCATTCATCCCCCAAACCACCTACCTTTAAATTAAACAAGATTATTTTTAAACGGGGAAAGCATGGCTGCATGCTATATACCACGTTAGGGGGAATGCTTTATTCATGTAGTGGTAGGACAGTATTTTCCATGTTATCCTCCCTTCCACCCTTACAGAATTTAGCATTTTGTTGCTTTTCTGACCTCAGCTGCACATTTTAGCACTGGCCACGCTAAGCTGTGCATATTAATGCTTAGGCCCTCTTTCCGAGTCAATTTAAAACTCTCTAAACTGTGTAAGAAACAAGACAGTTTTTGCTTTTACTAGGCATTCCTCAAGGTGTACTAATGCTACTATGTTATTTCATGCTTGCTGCTCAACTAGCTTTGTTAAGTCCATCCAACTCCAGTTACGGCCACCATGCAACCAGCTATTCCTTTTCTAAACTGCTAGCACTGAATCGTCCTGTCTACCCAGACAAGCTTCCCAACACAACCCTACTTACAAAGCAGAGATGAGGCATGCAGCAAAAAGAAGCGCCATAGACAGTATAATTTATACCAATCTGGAAATGAAATATGCTGGCTAAAACAATTTTTGTCAGCACAAGTTTGAGGTTGTTTGCTAGACCAGCTATGCAACAACAATGTAAAATAGAATGTACTAATGAAATTGTATCTGTAATACAGTTACACCAGAAATATTTTCATGTAGATACTGTCTACTGAACAATGCTGGCTTTAGAACAGACTTCAGAAGAGATCAATTCACTAGTTCAAGACAAGTTTTAGCTGAAATTAAGGATAAAAAAGCCACTTCAATCTAGTTTACCAGAAGTTTAGCTATAAATCTCAATATGAGGTGAAGAAGTAGTACAGACAGGCAAAGTCTCAATAAAAATCTTTTAGTAAGCATTTTGTAGAATTGGAATGTAAAGAGAAACAAAGATAAATCAACAGCTTTAGCTCTATAGTTGGCTTCGGTTCTTTTTGATGAACCTCAAAACACACCTTCTTTTTTTAAATTAATTTCATGCTTTTGCACAACCTTTGCATGCTCATTTAAGTTTTAAAATGTTGTTACAGAGCTATCAACAATAAATCAGATTAAAACATTTTTACCTTTAATACCCTGATTGGCTGGTGAAATTGGTTTGGTGGCTTCTAATACATAATCCAAGATGCTCTGGGTTATCTCAGTGCCTCCCTGCAATTTTGTTTCCAACAAAACTTTCTTTCTTTTTTTCTTTTGGCCTTCAATGGGAACTTCAAGCAACAAAATCTTTCAAACAAGAATGAAAACCAAATGAGTTTTAAGCACAACTGAAACAAGTACAGAACACTTTAAAAATTATTATGTGTATTTATTGTAGCACTGTAAATGCAGTACCAAAATTCAGGAAGTACTGAATGTGGGGGAGCAGGATGGCAAAGTCAGGATGACCTCCATAACAGTAAGAGAAGTTAAATACTCTCTTTAAAGTAGTAAAATATTCACTTTAAATAAGTTAAAGAGAATAAGACAAGGCTGCATCCTTGCACTGAGCAGCCCGCAGGGCAAAATGCCCTGAAATGGCATGAAACACACAGGTATTACAAAACCGTTAAGTGTTCAAATACTGTAAGGATGGGGCAATGCATAGTAGGTATATGACACGCATAGACATTATTTAAGCAACGTTATTGTCATATTTTCTCTTATGCTGTATTATTACATATTTACTATGACTTATTATGTTTAAAAATTTTAATAAATAAAAAAATTTAAATATTTTTACTTCGTAGGATTTAGCTCGATATTCCCGAGAATTCAGGCTAGCAGTATTTTTTGGACGAATCACAGCAACATACGCATCTCCAATGTTTTCTGGGTTTCCCATCTCTCTGCTTATTTTGTCACTGGAAACAATGAATAAAGAGGAAGTAAAGGTTCAGTTGAAAAAAAGAAAAAGAAAAAATCCAACAGCATGCTAAACTTCAGGATGCAGTAATTATATCCACTGCTGCTTTGCTTGATTCATTTAGTGCTCTTTAGCTGGAGAAATACCAATGGCTGATATAATTCTGCTTCCTTTTCATGAAAGGGGAAAATCCTGTATCATAGATATTTAATACAAATAACCTTGTTCTCTAACCCACTTTAAAAATAAAAATAATGTATATTTTTTTCCACTTTGTAACTACCTTCCCCATTTTGCAAGCCAGGCAAAAAGCCGAAGAATTTTAGGACCCTGAAAAATATATTAAATTGAAAAAGAAAACCATTCTAAAGTGACAAGCACTGTAATTTGTAAAATATGCTATGGCAAAGTACTTCATTTCTATGAGTTCCACAGGGATTTCAAGAAAATACCTGATTTTCCTTCCCCCTGTGCCCAATAGGAAGCAGAACACAGTCTTGCCTACAGCCCAAGTTAACAAAGCTGATAAAAAAAACTATAATATGGATTCATTAACTTAATTTTCATAGAATCATAGAATCGTTTAGGTTGGAAAAGACCTTTAAGATCACCAAGTCCAACTGTTAACCTAACAGTGCCATCCCACCACTAAACCATGGCCCTAAGCACTTTGTTTTACTTCAGTGGGGCTGCAAACCGGTGCACGGTTCATTCACACACAGAGCTTCTGAATGGAAGAAATCTTCAGATTTTGCAAAAAGTGGACAGAGGTTTTTAGATTTAAGATAAAACTTTGCTCACCCTTCTGTTTAACCCAAAGTGATAATTCCGATAATCATAAAATGTTATGAAAATGATAGGGAAAACCTCCTAAGGGCTAAATCTTTCCACGTATCAGATTTGAGAAAGAAGGTCATGTCTGGGCATTAGCACCTTCCACCCAATCCTTTTCTTCATCTGCAAATGAATCCCCTTTCATTCCTTATCACCAGTAAGCACATGCTTTTTGAAGATTAATCCCCCCACAAAGATTTTTAACTTTAGTAGTTTCTAGCCTCTTCACCTCTTCTAGGAGAAACAGAGGTCTTCAGAGTCCCATGCCCTTAGCCCAGTGGTTTCGCTGGGATCAGACTACCTGAAAACATAGTAAAAAAACCCAACATAAGTAACAGCACGCACATTTCCACGTCCAGTTCAGTACATTAGCTAAGCAATTTAATGGGGGGTACTCGAACAGTAATATCTGAATAGAAACATATTTGATTTGCATTCCAGTAGCATCTAGAAACATTAAATAAGCAACGTGCTGACTTGTGGGAGCTCATGCTTTGGGATATTAAGAGTGCTGAAAGGAACACGAAACAACCATCCCTCCACGGGCAGCTGGGAAAGGCATGCTCCCTGGGTTTCCTTACACGTACTGGGATATACTGGGTGTGGGTCACAGCCTGGTGTGGAGGGAACCTGCACGGGTGGCAGGTGACAGTCGGGTGGGTGAAGCCCCCCTGCCAGCGCTCTGTACCGAGTCCAGAGCGGGGTGCGGATGCCCGGGAACAGACGGCCCCGAGAGCTGCGGTATGACTCCAGAAAACAAAACCAGAGGATGACGGAGGGTGGGGCTGCGAGGACGTCACAACAACGATGACCGGCTTCAGAAGGCACCACCAGTGAACTGACCCTAACCAAATCCAGGTGCCAACAACGCGTCCCCGTCCCAACGGTCTGGAGAACGTGCGTGAGCCGGGCTCCTCGCAGCGCCGCCAGCCCTCCCCGCCTCCCACGCC